CTATCTATCTATCTATCTATCTATCTATCTATCTATCTATCTATCTAGACTCTAGGAGACTATTTGCATTATTATTTTGTATGTTTGTCACTCAAGGATAAAAAAATAATACAAAACATAGTTATCATAAAGATCATATATCAATATTCCACCTACCAGTTGCATGAGTCAAGCCCCAGACCTCCTGGCCATAAACATCCGTTTTGTTCCAGATCAGCTTGTGCACAAGGCCGGGCCCAGCAGGATACCACCGCTGGTACAGCCTTCCTTGGACGGACGCGCGGACGTGCACTTTGGAAAGACCACCCAGAGGGGAAACAGGAGACGAGGGGGAGGGGGGCGTGAGGAGGATGCGCAGCAGCGAGAGGTAGCCCGCAGCCCGAGTGCTCAGGTAGTTCAGTTTAACAAAGGCTCCTGGGATTGAAACTTCCTCCTGAACCGCCTGGGGAGAGCAAGATGGAGAACGGAGTGAGAATTACAGGTGATGGAAGGGTCATGAATGAAAAATGAGAGACAGAGAAAGATTAATATCGGGGAGGAAGGTGTTTCATCATTACTTTATATTTGAATAATGAGCGAGGGTAATAAAAACTATTGGCAGGTTCAGGAAAAAACCAGCTGAAGTGCAGCACAGTGCAATAAGAGATATGCGTCTTCCATGTTTTTCCCGCACTTTTTCAGGAAATCTTTTTTGATAAATCAAATTGAGTTTCTTCCAAATATGTTCGTCAGACTTTTTTTTAATAAGGGCTGTATCCATGAAATGTAAAAAGTTTGCTTTTTATATCCTATACTGGAAATATAAGAAAATGAAAAGTCATGATCACAACAATCGGAAAATGTAGTTTTCATCATGTATTCATCATTCAGCTGGCTCATGTCACATCCTCCTTATGTAACAGTATTCTAAATATTTCCCTCAGTGATCGGAAATCTTTGATTTTTTTAATGAGTGATTACTTTGCTTTAACACGGACACTTTATTTGCCTCCGTGTCCCTAAGCTAAAATTGGCTTGAGCCTTTCTCCCTGCGTTCATGTACAAACGTGTAATAAGGTCAGGGTTAAGTTTGAGGTTTGCTCACTTAAAAAAAAAAATCTCGGGAGTTATTTTGGAAGTTAAATGCGTAAAGACCAGTCTGACCTCCACGCCAGACACCTAATTTGCTTTCGAGGTGGGGGCGTGCGTAGATGTAGCACACATTTGCATTTTGCTCGTTTGCATGATGCAAATATGAAATGAGCTAAGTTCGCACAATCATGTGTGACTGGGCTTGCAGAGCTGTTACAAATTGCATCTCTCAGTCATTCTCATTGGCTGTCGTCAGCACACACTTGACGCTGCGTTTGCCACACTTTATTCTGGTATTTTTAGGGGTGACTGTCTTAGCAGCTGCGGGATGAAACAGAGGAGTTGCCGGCAACTTTGGTGATCTCACATCATTCCTGCATCACCGTGGGGCAGATCATTTTAGTTTCCAGTGAAATGTCTCAACAACCTAGCATGAATTCTAAATTCATTCCCACCCAGAAAATGAATCCCATTGACTTTAAAGACCATAGAGTTTTCATCCGGAAGCACTGGCAAGTAGAGAAGTGTGTGATTTTTAATGGAAAGTCTAGAATAATTTTGAATGCGAAGATATAAAAATACATTTGCACATGCAAATTCACTCCCAGGGTACAGGAAAATAATTTCATTATTCATTTCTGTCTGATTTACTTCTGAGGGAAGTATTTTCTAGGGTCATAAGTGACTGCTTATAAAACCTAAAGATATTAGAACCAGGTGATGGAGCTATTTCTCAACAGATTTTATTGATGAACTGTTTCAAATATATTCCTATTGGTCTGTTTAATGTTGTATGACAAGTACAGCCTCTACGTAGAGTGGACTGTACCTGTAGTTCTGGCACCGCTGGCCCCTTATCCGCACATGCTCCTGTGTATCTGGGAAGCGGGTAGGGGAGGACCAGTGGGTAGGGACTCAGAACACTCCTGATTTCACACTTAGGAGATTGGGCTTCCTCTCTGGACATGGTCACCTGATCCAGAACCAGGAAGTTGTTGTTCGGGGTCCAGACAGTGCGCGTTTGCGGGACAAAGGGTGGCCGCTGGAACATGAGGGTCACAGACGTGGCCCCAAAAGTCACCAAGTCGAAACTACAGATAAAGAGAAAAGCACAAGGTAAAGTAAGTTAAAGTAAGTAAGAAGAGGAAGGCAGAATGGTATGCTTTTGTGTCATTTTCGACCACCTTCCATCCTGCCGACTGATTGTGTAGCCATATTCGGGATGCTGTGGGAAGGTGATGTTGACTCCAACCAGAGGAGAGCCATCCTGCAGCACCACGCTGCCTCGAATCACAGCCGCCCGACTGCCAAAACAAAGACGGTAAGTGGAGAGAGAGTGGAGAAACAGAGATAAACAAAGGCACAGGGAGATGACAGCTTTACAATAACAGAGAACATAATCATTGTTCGAAGGAAGCGGCATATTGTGATGCACTAGCCAAATGACCTTGTGAGGAGAGAAAGCAGCTGCATTTATTCTGCTCGGTACCATTCTCTTCTTTAGCTCAGGGAAATCTGCCAGAGATCGCTAGGATACAGGCCATAAATATAGCCTCGGCACAGTAAAACCTTTCAACACCTAGTCATATAAAAAACAAAACTTTCATATCGTGTTTATATTACTGCAGACAGAATGTGCCACCTGCAGCAAAAAGTTACTCTTCAAATAGGCCTTAAGCTATGAGAGGAATCTCTATTTTATGTGGAATGCGCTGCTTAAATCTGGAATAATAGCTGCCCTGGTCAAATGAAGACAGATTTAGAAAGATGTACGTGCCAAACACACACACACACACACACAAAATCATTGATGGGAGGATATCTATTACTCCAGAAAAAGCATAAATGAGGGATGGTGAGGTTTCTGCGGGTGGCTGCATTGCCCCGTTTGTTACTCCTGTCCTGAAAGCTACCATCGATTTCCCCTCTGAAAAAACAGCCACATAATTAATTTATTTGTGTATTCTACAAGTGAACCAAGGGGAGGAAAAAAAAAAAAACTGCATTTGCTATTTTTCAGAGAGGCATCCCCTTTTTGTTTTTCCAAACCAAACTTTCTAGGGCACCGCGATGCTGGCGAGACGCAGCTTGGCCCTTAGATGGCTTGCGAGAGCGCTTTGAAAAATTAATGGCGACACCTTCACAACTGCCTCAACTGAATGACACATTAAGCATTCATACGTGGCAAATAAAAGTTCCTTCACACGGGGGGACGGTGCGACGCGCCGCAGAGTGACGGCCGATCCCTGGTGGAACCCACATCGCTGAGACTTGCGCGCAGGCACGTGGGAGCGTTTATAGCCTCATTCACATGCAAACACACACACACACGTCCTCATCAAACAAACAATGGGAAATGGACGTCGTAGCTCATTAATACAAATGTAGGAGCTCCATTATCTGCTATTCTTGTGTTTTAACAAGAGACTCAAGGACGGAGGCGCTCTAAACAGATACACAGAAGAATACTCAAGGCAACAATATATGTATAATATTTATTTTTTTAAAGGCACACCTGGTGTCAAAGGGAACGTCGCCTGGGAGAGTGTGCGTGGCCGCCTTGCCGAGGAGAAAGCGTATGCGGCGGTAGAAGCTGTGGGTGTGTACGCTGCCCGGAGCAGGGGGGGCGGCTGGGGCCGGCGGGCCCTGCTGCAGAAGGGTCAGCGGGTCAGCCGAGCCGTGGCACAGAGGGTCGGAGCCACAGCTCAGCTGCTCACAGCAGTCGGGATCCACGCAGTCCATCAGGCCGTCTGAAACAGAGCAGCGGTGGAGAGTTTAACCGATTGGAACGCACTTAGTCTAAATATGGGTTGGACAATAACAGCGTTTTTATGCATAATTAATTGGGACTTTGACAGACCGAGGTGGCCGAGAGCACCATTTGTAATCCAAAGGCCAAGATCATTTACAATCAGGGGTTTTCGAAGTCAGACACTGTGCCCCCCCCACAACTCCCTCCGACAAAGGATGGAATCCAAACTCACCCCTAATTTTCTCCCTAAAGTCCCTAAATGCTTTTAAAATGCTCATTTTTACTTCATTTGGTCTCACAGACACCAACAAGTTATTTCTGATGCTGTTTTTGTCAGCCTTTTTTCATAGATTCTGGCATTTTTGTCCATCCATTTTATTACTTTAAACATTTTCTTTGGTTATTTTAAATATGTCAGTGGCTTTTTAAAATGTATTTCATTGGTTGATCTGAGCCTTGTTTTGTTCATTCCTCTTTCTCTATGTTTAAAGACTCTTTGGAAGTATCTTTGGTCTTAAAATGCGATTGCTATTTTCTAAGTTGTTAATTTAGCTAAACTTTATAGTTGTTTAGTCGCTTGATAAATGCTCTATGTCTTTTTGTTTCATTTTGGTCATTTCTCCGGCCTTTTGAGGTGTTTTGTGCAAGACTAATGTCCCTATGAGCCTATTCCAGCTGCCGTCGGGCAACAGGCTAATAACACTAGATGGATCACCAGTCCGTAACTAAAAGAATATTTCATCACTTCCAATCACAGTGTCCCCTTAAACTGTAAGGACTCCTTTTTGGCGAAGCCCACCCACCAGTTTGAGAATCGCCGACTTCTATTACATATGCAGTGGAAACCCATTGAGAGGACACAATGAAACCTCAAATGTCACAACAGAATTAACGCCGCTGACCAGTGACAAACTCCACTGGAGTAATGCAACCGCAATAATGAACTGCTGATGCATCATCGTTATCACGCAGTATTAATCAAACCAAATTCATTAGGGGCCATCAGCGTGCAATTACGGCTTTCACTGCTATAAATATGCTTCCAATGCCCAGAGTTATTTAAATGCGATCCATAATGTCTGACAAAAACAATGAGCCACAGATACAAACTAAGACGGCAGGTAATAGGAGCCAGGCTGGCATTCGTGTTTCCTATTCCTAGCTTGTTTCTGAAAAGGCAGGAAACAGTGCTGACATTTAAATGCATCTGACCACGGAGCACAGAGCTAAAGGCCAACAATATTCTATTATAACCTCCCCCCTACAAAAGTAGTGTAGTACAATGGTTGATTTCCATACGAGTAGCTATTTGAACGTAAAGGCACAGTATTTACTGAAACTCGAATATCATTATTTCTCAAAAATACACACCCTACTGTAACTTGTTATGCCAAAAGAAGCACATTAGAATGCAGACTTTAACCGTATGCAGCATGTTTAAATATGCATGTACATGAGATGTCACTGCTTATAACTGCACAATAAATGTGTTTTTTTCCAATCTGCAGCACAATGAGCATTTTGTCCTTCTTTTTCATTTTCGGAGAAATAATTGAAACTCTCTCTTCAAAGTTCCTCTTTATTCTCTGATTACTCAAGATAGCATCTCTCCATCTCTGTCTATCTTCAGAGACAAAAAAAGACGAAGACAGAAGAGGGCTATGAGAGCTGACAGTATAGCTGCCAATTAAGGGAGAGGGCTGAATTGTGTTGTAGAAAATTACGGCATTTGAGAAGCCCTGCACAGAGGTGGAAGCAAAGGAAGGAGATTTTCTAAATGTTCGCTCTGGTTTTTTTCTCAGTAAGTTGTTTTTTTTGTGTTGTTTTTTATCAAAATCAAGACTAAAATGAATGAATTGGTTTATCCAACTCAGACATTACAGTTCACAAATAGATTGCCTTTTGCTCTATCAGATAATGCGCATCCCCATTTTATGGCTACATCTGAAAATGATTAATATACTTACACAGCAAGAGTTCCAATTTTGGCAAATGGATGTGTACATTTGAAAAAGGATTGCATTATTGATATTATAATTATTATTGTGTTTCGTGCTGCCTTCTCCCAGTCAGCTAAGTCAATACGAGAGAGATTAAAAACATGGTGAATCCAGTGCTCTAGAGACATTGTTTGTCAGACAAAATGTTAAAATAGGGAGAATATATCATTTTCTGCCTTATAAATCAGCCAAAACATGTAAAGAAATTTCAGCCTAATAGTAAGAATCCCAAATATATAAGATATAGTTTCACACCAAAACCACCTTTGTGCATAACTATAAATCTTAAATGCCCTTTTCTTGGCATCAATCTGCTCACCACCCAAACCTCTGCTTGACCTTCTCGTTCACGCAAACAAAATTGTGTGTTTGACACATAGGAAAACACAAAGGAAAACGTGGCCACCAACTGGATAGAACGAAAAACAAACAGCGTCAGGAACCCATTTGAAACTCCAATTTATTCTTCTTCTTTCATTGACACCGAGCTAATTAACCCTAAATGAGGCAGTTTCTCTTTTCTTAAGTGACCGTGTTGAAGGATGCATCCTGCAATATTTCAGAAGAGCATCAATCTGCATGAAGCTAGCAAAACAACTAAGGAGACCGCTGAAGCTTCAAAAACTGGGTTACACAGTGTCCAACATATTATTACAAATTAGAGGGAGGCAGGCGAGCCGTCGTCTCTAAGGAAGAAATGCAGTCGTAAGATTGTGTTCTAAAAGAACTAAAGCATTCGGTGAATTCAGATCGAAGAGAGTCAACAAGGGGACTCAAGGGATAATGAATGTCAGAGGACAACTTATCAACTTAACACTTATCAGTGAGGTTAAAAAAAAAGCTTCAATTTGCCGAGGAGCATAAATATTGGACCCTGGAGCAATAGAGTGAGGTTTAATGAGTTCAGATTTAAGTTGTTACAGAGTGATAGGTGCAACTGAGAAAGAAAAGCTGTGGATGAAGTGCTGCTGCCATCATTATGAGGGGGCAGCGGTGCCATTCAGGGGGTTTCACTGGGTCAGATTTATCTTTAGTAAAGTCATGTGCTTTAAAAAATGGGATCAGTTAATCACCTGACCATTCTCAAGGTTCAAACAGTGATTTCGGTACATTTTTGTTCCAAAGTGGGATGGGGATATTTGAGGAGGCCAACACCGGGCTTCTGTTATAGACTGTGAAAGGATGGTTCAGGGAACACTGAATCCATACCTGCGCTAGTTATGCCCAAAGCTAAAGCTGCTCCTATGTAATGTCAGTGTTTGAATTGCTTCGACTGTGCTCTGTGAAATGACAGTACCTATTCTCCTTAACCCACCGTTAACCAAACAACAGGTCCCAGTCAGCTCCAGCTACAATACTGAGAAAAATCATACAAAGACCTTATAGGATTTAGCCTGCATTTCTTTTGAGAAAAAAAGAAAAAAAACAAAGCCTCAATATGGACACGAGGTCATTATTCCTCCCAATTTTTTGCCATTTCGTGTTTAAATATCCCCAGTCTGCATTTCACGCTGACCTTTCCTCCATGTGAAGTGGCATTTATACGTTTGCCATTTGCAGATGTTTATAGACAGTGTTGGCGCCTCTGTTTGTTAATGCTGTTCATGCTTTAATGTGTGCTAGTTGGGCTTGGAGTAAGATTAGTTAAGACTTTTAACAGCTCTGACAAAGCTCAAGGCCAAATGACATTTTAAACAAGTGCTCATACTGCCTGGTTAGTCTCCACTGAGTCATGCACTGACATGCGATGGTGGTGGTGGTGGTGGTGGTGGAGCAGGCCTTTAACGGGCGACAAAATTGCTCACTGGTGAAATGGGTGACTAAATTGACACTTATTGTTCTTAATGTGCCAGAAGTCAATTTATTCCTCTGTGTTTATTCCTTTATTCTTGTCCAACCCCCATCCACCCAACCCCCTCACCCCACAAACACCCACACACCCACCCACACACACACACTTAGTCTGTCAGCCTCTATTCCACAGACCACAACACATGTTTTATTACGTGGCTCCCCGGTCGTAATCCAGAATAAGGACCCATGACTCGTGTTTTTAGCGGCTGTCAACACTGACACTTTGAAGTGCTGCCTGAGTCAGTCAAACAGCTTTGGTAAACAAAGTGTAGGGGGAAAAAAAGGCTACTTTGTCGCTATCTGAGACCCACACCGATAAAAGGCTGTGTTTGAGTTGTCTTGATGCTTCAGATTCAAAACCACAAAAACAAGAGAGGGAGGAAGAAAAAACACAAGCTTTCCCTCCCAACAAAAGCAGCATTACCCTGTTCGCAATGATGGATTAGAGCACTGCCTTAGCAGTCATGTCGGTTATGGATATTTGATGGTGTTTTAAATGTGCAAAATTGACAGCAATGTAATATTGTACTGTATAAAAAAACAGTGGAGAGATGTATTGGAGAGGAAATGTAGATGAGCCTGAAATGACCAGGGAATAATTGTAATGAGGAGAGCACCTGCTAAAAATCACCATTTCTAAAGATTAAAAAGAAGAAACAAACAACTATAGTGTATACCTGAGAAGCACACACATTCACTTATTACAAAACACCTTAGAACGAAAAGTAGGGAACATTTTCTGCATGGTTTGCTGTATTTAGACTTGAGAAAATTTCTCGGAGAGCCTCTTATCCTAGCAGGTGGTATGCATATCAGACATTTAGCAATGATTAGAGGGAAATCAGAAAATACACACACTTGCACAAATGGTGGCACGTACACAATCCACTCGGATAAATATTCAATATAACAACAGGCAGCAGGACTCTACAGAAGTCTCAGCAGGGCTGGGACAACACAGAGTGATGAAGGAGAGGAACAATGAGGATTTTTTTTTTTTTTTAGCAAAAAAATCAAGACGCGAGGACACGGACGATCGGGCAGAAGAAAAACTAAATGAAAGAGGCACGAAAGAGATGGAATATGATAGATGCTGTTAGAATGTCACCTCCGTCGTTGTCAGTTCCGTCACTGCAGTCAGTTTCCATGACAACGCTGCATCCGGGCCCACTCCATCCAGCTTGGCAGATGCAGCGCCAGCCACTCTGCTCCAGGGTACAGCGACCATGTCCGCTGCACAGCCCAGGGCAACCGTCTGCAAAGGCGTGTCCAGTGCACACACACACACCGATTTTTGGCATTTGTTGGCGTGTTAGAGGTGATACAAAATAGCTTTACCACTAAATAAGACAATAATTACCTTTAACCACGACGTCCAAATCATGAGTAACTGTGGAGAGCACAAGTAGGAATATTGTAAATAGAAGTAAGCCAAAGAAAAACGTCACACATTTATCAAAATGTAGATTCATTTATTCAAACAAAAGTGTCAAAGTCACAACCGAACACCTCCACGTGCCAGCAGCGCCCAACCTACCAATGTTACAGTGTTCCCCCTCCCAGCCGGGCTGGCAGATGCAGGTCCCGTCGTGGCACTGGCCGTGTTCTTCGCAGCGAGGGTGGCATGCTCTCTGGTCGCACGCGGCGCCGGTCCAACCCTCCTTGCACTGGCACTGGCCCTCCGAGCAAACGCCGTGGCTGCCACATGGCACCGGGCACAGCTCTGATGAACAGGTGGGAGGAGACGCGCGAAGAAAAAAAAAAAAAAAAAAAGCGTGTGAAAGTGTGAGAGGACGAAGACATTTAGAGGGAGGGGAACAGATGGAGGAATTGAGCAATGCAAGGAAAAATAAGTTGAAAGAGACACAGGGGACAAAGAGAGAGAAGGGGGAAAGAAGTTTAGAAAATAAGAATTGAAGGTGAGCCATTGGATATAGGTGAGAGTAGGAAAATACATCCAATAGAGAGGGATAACCTAAGAGACTAAAAAAAAATGGACTCTTACAATACACAATTTTCTCACCTCTAATAGCTTAGCTCCCTTAAGGAGGAGACGAGTGAATAGGCTCATAATAAAAGCCAAATGATTCATATTTGCACCCCATATTTAAACTACTGGGACTCCAATCCAGCTCCATTATTCTTTTCTGACATTTTGATCAGATTTAGTGGAAATGTTAATACCACTTTTGCCACGTCTCTCCATCTTTGTCTCTGTCAGCTCTCTGTCTCTGTGTCTCTGTCTCTCCTCCTCCCTTGCAACATCCCTTCAAATTTTTTTCCCACCCATCTTTGTCTGTTTCCTTTTCTTTGCACTCGTCGCCATCTAACACTCACTCCCTCTGCAGAGGCAAAGCCTCATCCATCAGTAAAGAGAGCAAAGTGCTGGAGGCACACAAAGCCTACTTATCCAGCTGCAGTAAAAAGTTATTTCAATTTAAATATACATAGCATGGAGAAGGGAGTAAAAAGTGGATTAAAGTTGGAGAGTTTTTCAGCTCTCTATTAGAATTACATTAACTTAGCTATGCCTCAACAAGACCACGACATACAATTGCTTGGTTCTTTTGATTAAAAGCCCAGCAGGTAGAAGGGAGGTGTCTCATATCTCAGATATTCAGCCACGGCCTATCATTATCATGAGTTATATCACCATAATAAGGCTTGCACACACCTGAGAGAAGACGCTCATGCCAGTTGCCTGCAAATCACTGGTTTGCATGGTGCACACCAGCTTAAAGTAAGTGTGGTGGCAAGCAGAAAATCAAGTCTGCTAATGGCTATTTTTCCTCCCAGTCAGCTCACATGGAAAGGACAAGGACATTTTTTTTTCTCTCGCTGCGTTTTCTATATTTCAGACATTTTCGGTTCACGTGCCTCGGTAGCCTTGCTTCAATGGACGCGTCGCTGCCTTTTCTTTCCCGAACGAGAGCGGCTGTCTATTTAACCAGCCAGAGGATTTAGCCAAGAAGGTAGTTATAGTGGTAACAAAAGCTTTCACAGCTATATTTAACAACCACTCACCAACTAATAAGCTGAATGCTCCTCAGAGCTGCAGTCTCTGACAGGCCTTGCAGCAAAGTTAGAATAGAGGTCTTTTATTTATTAATTTATTTATTTCCTCCCCTAGCATCCCCCCCCCCCCACACACATTTAGCTTAAGGGAATATGTGTGTCCAAGTGGCTGTGTGTACATGAAGAATGTGCGCAAGAGCAAACGGGTAAAGGCAAAGTGAAGTGAGTGTTAGCAAGTGCCTCAAAATACTTCTGTCGCAGTCATGATGAGGAATATAATTTCTAACAGTGCATCACACACCCACGAGCACTGACAAACAAAGGGGTCAGAGAGCAATCACGTTCCCTCGTGTTTATAAAATGTTATCTGACAATTCCACATATGCTACAAGAGCGTTGCTGATGAGTGGCTTCAGCTTTCAGTTTTTGTCTCCTTCTTCTTCTTCTTTTTTCTTAAATGGGAACAGCCATCCCGACGTCTTACCCGTGTAGCAGTCCGGTCCCGTCCAGTTGGGCTGGCAGGCGCAGGTGTCCGACTCCGGGAGGTAGGTGCCGTGGCCCGAGCACTGCTCCTGACAGGCTGGCAGAGGGTCGTCGCAGCTCACCCCGGCCCATCCCGCCGAGCACACGCACTCCCCGCGCACGCACACGCCGTGCCCGCCACACTGGGGGTCCACGCAGTCCACTGCAGGGATGGAAAGAGAGAGAGAGAGACAGGGGGGAGGACGAGGGGGAAACGCGGGAGTGAGTCGGGGCCGGCGGGAGGGTGGGTTAGCGCCGCTGGTCGTGGGGGTCAGGCCGTCTCATTATAATCATCAGCTCAGCGAGTATGAAAGCAGTGTTCTTTGCATCCCATCCAGGAGTTAACCACCCAAGCTACAATCCCTGTATCTGTTCCACAACATTACACTTCATAGGACACTTAGAGCTGAGGCTGTGATAAGGGGTGGAATGGGTTTGGTGTGTGTGCGAGCGTGTGTGTGCGAGTGTGTGTGTGTGTGTGTCAGGGTGGCCTCTGCTACGCTGTGTTAGTGTGTGTAATTACAGCCCTGAGCGTGGAGCCAAAGCTCAGCAGTTCGGCTCAACTCAGCTCAGCTCTGTCACTGAAGGTCACACACCTGAATCCGTCTCCGCAGAGATGGCAACGGAGAGGTGGCAACAGAGAGATCTCCGGGACAGCTGTGTCATCAGCTTCTAATCAGGTCATACTTCTCTCAATATCATTACCGTGTTTGTTTCTCGTTAATTCATGTGTGTGTTTACAAGGCAGAGGTGTTGGCGGAAATGACAAACGGGCTGAGCCGGACTTCCTGTGTGTCCCTGAACTGCCTTGGCGTTTATCCCCGAGCTCTCAGCAATGCGGAGGTGTTTAAAATGGTGTTTGCTGTAAATAATTTTGGACCTCTAGACATGTCCCTCACCTGAGAATTTCTGCAATGTCAAAAACAATATGATACAGCATACAACAGAAATAAAGGTTGATTCATTTAATCCCTATCCTGCATTAAATAAGATGATTCAGCTTAAAAACAGCATGTTTTTTACACATTTGTGTTTGTTTGGCCAAGTGGACTACCTCCTCCTGCCTCTATACTACACCAATTTTAAATATTGTCATAATTCCATGTAAGGAAAAGCAGGCCTCCACTTCTTTAAAGAAACTAAGATTCAATCCCTTTTCTCCCAACATATCATTACAGATTTTATTATAAGTTATGTTACATGATTTTGGAAAACCTTTCATTATATTGCAGTTGGCTCTTGTGCCACATGTCAGCTCAAGTGCCAAATCCCACTGTGCAGGGCATGAAGTGCATAAGTGTCTAAAACCATCATAATTTGCATAATTGCTGATTTGACACTATGCTTTTTTGCTCTCCATTAAATCGTGGTTGTCGACAGCGGGTGCATTATACTAAGACTTATCACGCAAATAATCAACCAAAACTCCCCCTGTTGTTCTTTGTTGATTTACATATCTGTAATGCGTTTTTTGTGTGGGTTTTTTTAATAGAAAAAGAATGACTTGTTAACGCTGAAGGTTAAATAAAAAATGTAAGCTTTCATTACAAAGCTGCGACATTGTTGCCACTGCCTTTATTTTTCTGTTGTATGCTGTCTTTTTTTTTTTTTATTAAATGAGGACTTGGAAAAAGTTAACATGGTAATGAAACAGTTTCTGGTTAGCTCTGCTGCACTGGGAAAAGGAAACCTACTTAAAGTATTATTGGCTTTTGCTCAATTAAGGAGCGCTGCCTCTATGTCTGCATGTGTGTGTCGATTTGTTTCACCCAGGTCAGCTGAAACAGCTGAGAGGAGAATTTCAAGAGGAATTTGATCATTTTTCAATGCACCAAAGCGACAAGCAAGTGTAATGTCCCCAGTCGTATCAAAGGCAGTTTGATCAATCTGGGCATGAAGTGAGTCAAAATCCCATGATGTCATTAGATGAAGGCAACACAGAAAACACGGCTGGATGCAGGGACTCTGGAATCTACCAGGGAGGAAAGAGCAGTTCATGACTCTTTGGAAGTGAAACGAAATTGAAAGATAATTTATTAAACCCTAAGGAGAAATCATATTGTTGCAGCGTCAAATAAAAACAAATGACAGTCATTTGCCGTTCATTGTTAAGCATTCCTTGCAGAGAGCCGTTGCCGTGGGCAGCAATGACCTCCTGTATTGTTGAGGTTTTGTCTCGGTTTTTGCTGCGGCAGAACTGTTGCTTCAAAGAAAATGGGCTGTGCTATTAACTACACTTCTTTGTGCTGTGAGCTCAAGCAGATATAGAGCTGTCCCGGAACAGAACCCCTTTTCTTTATAAGTTCAGTTTCTTCACGTCACAGATGCTTCTGGGCCATAAAAGAATAAGCACATAGTTTAGTCCAAATTGCTCATGGTATTTTACAGAAAAACTAAACAAAACAACCAAAACAAAAAAAGCTTTTAGACAGAGCATCTGTATGGAAAAGGTACATAGGATCATTCAATGCTGTGACTCTATCCACAATAGACAAAATCTGAGAAAACTTCAGCAGAGCTGTGCTGCCTGAAAAAGAAACAAGCAATAATTTTGAAATATGCGCATTTAAACCACTATAAGTAAAACTAATGACTGCATTGTTAAGCTTGTATGAGTGAAAACATTTCATAACTTGTGTTTGTCTTTATGGGTGCTTGGATAGATTTTCTACTTGGTGCTTTTTATCATTTATTAATTTCTAAAATATTCAACAATGCTAAATACAAATGCCCTTGAATAACTTTTTTTTTTTAGAAAAAAGAAACTTTAATAAATGTATATATTCTGTTTGTTTTCCAAAATTCTAAGCTAATGCATCGACCAGAATAAAGGTATGAAACGTCTATGCAGCCCTCTGTGGTAAAATTCCTTTCAACATGAGTTAAAATTCCTCTGAAGTTGTCAGAAACGGCAGAGCCAAGCAGTAATTCTCTTTAAGTTTGTCACCACAAGGGATAAAATTATGCAGGCGTTTGATTCTTTGCCACACTGGTTAGTGCTGTTTTAAGTAAATGATGACGTTCATTCAAAACAGCACTCATTCCCTTAAAAGCATTCCACAGGAGGCCTTTTTTTCCTTTTTTTTTTCCCTTGGTAGCTGAAATTTTTAAGGTCCCCGTCATCAGTCTTGAGAGCTTAAAAGTTGGAAACGCCTTACCTTGCTCACAGTTGACTCCCTTGTAGGCTGGACTGCATATGCAGATGCCCTGGATGCAGGTGCCGTGGTTGGAGCAGGTCGGATCGATACATTGACCTTCCTCCACGTTACACTCCGCCCCCTTCCACCCTGGCAGGCACACACACCTTCCTTTCTCGTATATGCCGTTACCGCTGCACAGCACCGGGCACGAGTCTGTGACGGGAAAATACAGGGATTACTGGCACGCTCGGTGGTACGCCCATGCAAACACACCAACACAGATGCTGCTGCAGTATATTAGCCTGGAGAAGGCGTTAACCTGCTGTGAGTGGGGCTGCGCTCTCTTATCTCAGCCGGCGCGCGGATTCAGCAAATCCTTGGACATCCTGCGTCTCATTCGCATGCGTGCACTCACACACACCCCGCACGCAGGCGCGCGCACTCGAGCTTATCCCTCGCACTGTTTCAATTTACTCAAGCACCACCTGAGCCTGGATACCAAGGCAACCCAGAAATTGTAGAAAATCCTCCCGACGTCCCCTCGCTCGTTCAGAACAGGCCGTGAAAACAATCGTAAAAACTGGAGATTAGGAAGGAGAGCATTACGCGTTTATAGAATGAGGGAGGTGAGCTGTGTGGCTTAATGCAACAGCAGCCCGATAGAGTAAAGTCAGAGGATGTCGGGTGACCCGCTGACAGTTACAGTTCAGGACATCAACTAGACTGAAGAGAGGATCCAGATGTGTAGCGTTTGTTTTTTTTATCAGGGATAATTCGCAGTGAGCCGCCTGTGCGTATTTGTCCGTTTCCTCATTAAATCTAACACTCCATGGAGCAATAAATCCAAGCTTGAGTTTTCACATCTCGTGCTAAACCTCGGTGTCTTAGCTTTCATGCGGAGAACACTATAGCACAAACAAATGAGCACCGATGAGAAGAGAGAATGAATAAATTATGAGCCTAAATAAATCATAAGATGTGATAATCACCTCACCTGTCTCTACACATTAAATCAGCTACAACTACAATAATTTCAGAAAGACGAAATGTCCCAGGCAGATATGTGACAGGGTAGAGGTAGAGGGGTAGATGGATGGAACAAAGGGGAGAGGAAGAATGCTAAACAGACTAAATACAAAGAGTTGGCAAGATTTAAAAAAAAAATACCTCAGTGATCTGCACTATTACACTGGCATGAAACTATTTGAGATACGGCAAGTATTCTAATAATAACCTGCACTGAAATACCGATCTGCTCTCAAATAACAGTCAGCCGTGAGGCAAGCTTGGACAAATAAAGGCTGGTCATTATGAAGGGCCAGAGGCTGGAATTGTTACATCTGTAAAATTTGGGGAAACCTCTAAAAAACTGGGCCCTGGAAGACTTTTAAAAAATCATTGCCTATCAGTGAAGTTGATCCTAGCATAAAAAAATGCAGGTTAAAGGTCTAAATTGCAGTGATGAAATCATATAATCCAGATACACCATGTTTTCTGGGAAAGGGCTCATGTGAAATTTACTAAAAATTAAGTTTGGTCAGAAAAATAAAAAATGAAATAACAATTTTTTGCTCCTTAAATACTATAGGCTGCCAAAGAGTGTGTCTCTAATGATGTCGGGCTGCACTGGTGCCCATTAGAACTGGTAACCCGCACTGCTCAAAGGTACACACAGGCTTTAGAGGAACATGTGCTTCCATCCGGGTGATGGCCATGCATAAATCAGACAGACAATGTCTACATTATTCTCCCCAAAGTTCAGCTAATGGTCCTTCCAGGCCTCGGAGTAACAGAAAAGAGGATGCTATCCAGTGGTAAATGAGAACCTGTCCGGCATTCTTAGAGATGTGTTCTTTCCACTGAATTCTAAAAAGTCTTCAAGTCTTTCATTAAAGGTCAAATGTTTGGCTTTTGACATTTGGCTTCTTTTCTATTGTCTAATGTAAATGAAATATTTGCTTTGGAGATTTTAGAGCTCATTGCATTTTTCTCTTGTTAACAATACTTTGGACAGCACCCACACTTTTTCTTTTTGCATTAGAAGCTGTGCAACATCACGTTTTGTAGGGCTCTGCGGGTTGGACCCTTTGTATTTACTTTTGTTTGAATAATGTTTTCTTTATATTGCTGTGTGGGTGATTTAGGAAATCACAGAGCCCTCATAAAAACGAAAGTATATTGCACAATTGTGGGACGACCCATAAGTGAATGGGCTTACTGGCAATAAGAAAGATAGAAAATGACACCTACTTCATCTCCTAGCACATATTTCGTACCTTTGGCACAGTCTGGACCCAGGAATCCAGCAAAGCAGTGGCAGTGTCCAGCCACGCACTCCCCATTTCCATTACAGTCTGTGGAACAGCCGTCCATCGAGTCTGCACAACAACAAACACACACACACAGACAATCACATATTGACGAATACAACACAAAGGTCACAGAGAAAGAAAGAGAGGAGGAAAAAAAACAGAATGTGAAAATTGGCATGTGACTCTATAAGCTAGCATTCCTCTCATAGTTATTGAATGAAAGATCTGATAAGCAAAAGATGGCTCCCCAGACACAGTGGCTATATTAGATTAGTCTGATCCAGCTGCTATCGCTCTCTGGGGAGCGGCCAAGCACTCACTTACACTCAGTAGCACACTAAGCACATTAAACTGCATTACAGGTTGGAAACACACGGCCCGCAATTTTACAAACATCAAGGCTTAATCAACTAACTGTTTACAAGGGTGCAGTTTGAAACGAGGCTCGACAATATAAAACCTGACATTGCCGGAGCAGGAGCGACGGCGTGTAATGCAGTGTCCCTTGTTCAGGATGCCAGGATCAGTGTGATGCTTGCTTCCGACGAGGGCTCCGTCTAATCTGCATGTGTGCACTTCCTCATATATCTTTATATCGGCTGTGTTTGTTTCATCGTATTCCTCAATCAGGTGAGAATTAGCCACGTTTCTTTTTGTCCTGCTCTATTTTTCTCCCATTGACATGTCCATCCCTTCTCTGGGGACAGGCAGCATGGCAAAGGCGGATAAAGAGTGGGGGAGCACTTTTATGCTTTTGGGAGCATTATATAAGCCTACTGAGCTCTGTCAGCTCTGCTCAAGATGGAGGATTCTGGTGAAGAAGCACCCAGAGGCTGGCTGACTTGGGGATTTGAACTGAGCTGCTGGTTGTCCTGTGCCGGGTGAGCCCTATCTAAGCTAGATGGAGTAATTAAAACAAGTGTCAGGGATGTCATCCTTTACTTTACCCCCCCCTCCCTCCCTCCCCCTCTACACACACACACACTGTCCCGCTCGACTCCACCGAACAGGTATTGACTCCTGAGTCAAAGCACTGCAGTCCCCCGGCTCGCTCTGTTCGGGGCGCGTGGAAGAGAAATTCTTCAGTGGCGCGGCTCGCGCCTGCGCGCATGCACACGTTTACAAACGCACGCAGGCAAAGTTATTATGTGACACCCGCCTTGAGGCGTGTGTGACACATGCTAATGAGACGGGGCCTCGCCAGTAGCCGGCAGCACAGCGCTATCCTCCACCGCGGCGCATCTCCACAGAAACCAAAGTCATTTTCACCTCCATCACCTGTCATTGTCACACTGATGGAGAGGGGGAGTGCCAATCATCTTTTTCTCCCACACAGTCAGGAGGGCTCACGTTTGTTTCTCCGTGTGTGTCTCTTTCTCTCTCTTGAAAAAAAAGAAAAACTCGTATATGCTAAATCCAATATTGCATCTGGCACCTGACACATGCAATGAACAAAAACTTATCTGCAAGGTCACAGAGTTCTTTTTGCGCCAGTTAAAAAGAGCCATCCCTCAGAAGGCTAGCAGGGCTGTGAGATGTCGGGTTATAACATTGATATAAACTCTGAATCTCTCAGGTCAAACCCCCGACAATAAAAATCTCAAGGCAATTAATAGCAAATGTATGAGGGGCTATGTCTCTATATGTAGCAGTATAGTGTGTGTGTGTGTGTGTGTGTGTGTGCTTTCATGGGACACCCACTCTGTTCTTTCCACTGAGTACACCCTTCACAGTTAGAAATCACTCATGCCATAAGTTATTGAAGTTAAATGCTATTATAAAATGGGAGCTTCCAGCTGAGTGATCTGATTGGTCAAATAAGCATTCCAATTCTATTTTATGAGCCTGTAAAGTTTCAGCCATGCTTTATGACCCTTGGGCTTTATGAATTTATGAAAAAATGAACGGGCTGCCAGGCTAACAAGAAGTGTCATATTTTCTTGTTTATCTGTTTTGTTAAAATTTCTCAGGATTTACAGCTAAAGAGAGCATTCTCATGCTCTGTCAGTCACATGGTAAAAATATGTTATTTCAGAGGACGTGTGATGTCGGGTGGAGTATAGCAATTATGCATAATTAATAGTCCTGCAGGAAGCACCACTCTCTGCCTGAGTAGATTTAAAGAAGATGCTGTTGGAGTGGAGGTGGCGAAATGGCAAAAATCATTAAGTTGAAGCTTTTGCGGGTAACATGCAAATGTCAATAGCAGTGGAGGAGGAAATGAGGGTTTTGTATCAGCATCCGTTGCTTCTTTTTTTTCTTTCTTTTGTAGAAAAAGCTTTTTAATCATGTTATGACATCTACCTCAAAATCTGCCTTTCATCATCTCATTTTTCTTTCTTTGAAAATTGTATGATACACCTATCAGTTGTTATGTCGTATTTAGGTGGATTATCATTTTTCATTAAAAAAATGCAGCAAATAAACAAGCAAAACTTGCGATCATGTAGCTGCAAAGCACAAAACGGTGTGACATGAAGGTGACCTGCAGTAGCAGTGTGGGGTCAGATGTAAGCAGACATCCACATTCAGCACCAATCCGATTCAAAGATAATTTATGCCAATTGTTTACATGTTGTTAATTCATAACTTCGGTGTCTGACTTCAGAAAAAAAAAATCTACAGGGTCACAGTCTGCAATGGAAATATACATGCATTACGATTAGTTTTATATCAGACTGTGACCGCTACATTTAGGAAATGTGGACAGGCATCTCTATGGAAAGCAGAATAATATAAATTATGGCAGACAAGAGCCAAGTGGATTTTTCCAAGAGCACTTTGTTTTAATATTTGCTGATAAATAAATCTTTATTTCCACTGTCCACTGATCCCCAACAATCAGGCTTTGCATCATCTTTATTCATTTACAGTTTGCCTTCCTTTTGTTCAAAGTTTTATTGCCACTCTTTGAATTCATTTATGCGGTTGCTCTCTCCTGTCATGGCGTTCTGGATGCAGACTTAAAGCCTCCCACTGCTTTTGATCTGCCCTTAAAAAATAACAGCAACACAACAGTTTTAAATCAGCTTTTTTTTCCTCCATATTTCTCTTTTTATGTGAAAGATGAGCTGTAGTTTAAGATTTAGATGGGAAGCCATTTAGAGAGAATGACTGCGTGCACAATTCAGCATAACTGCATCTGGTGAGCATTATTTACATAATGAACAAGCAAAACCTCAAAGCTCAAAGATTATTTTGTGTGCCTCTCCGCGGCAGCTCCAAGTAAGATGTAACTGAATTCTGTCATCAGTGACAGGAGTTTCTGCGGTGTTTTATTTTTATTACAGTTAATAGTTTGACTCCTAATACTTGCGCTTTCACAATTGTGCTCTTTTCTTTTAATCTTTAACAAGATTTAGCTTCTTTGACAGCACATGGAAGGTTTTTCTATTACATGTAACCACATACAGTATGTCAAGACATATACAAGACATATACAACTTTAACTCACAGTGTTTCCCCTTGTATATGGTGGTTGTTGTTATCTTGCTGCATTTCATGTCCTTTTTTATGCTCGTCATGGTCTCATATTTTCCCTCTTGTTATAAACTATACTGTATTGATTTTACATTATTTCATTTATTTATTCTCAATGTTCTTTAGATATGTTTTTGGTTATTTATGCTCTTTGTTTCTCTCTTGTATCCAGTTACCATTTGCTGCGGAAAAGCTCAATTTCCCGACAGAGATCATCTCATTTCTCTGTCATCTCTCCATAAAGCTCGGCTCTCGGTCTACAGCATGCTGCTTCTCTGGGTAGAATTTACTGTACTGTGGCTCAGTGGTTTTGATTTTCTGCCTCCAAAACAATGCAGTGTCTGGTCGTAAACCTCGTTAGAGGTATAAATAGACAGTCGAATGAACTCTGACACCAGTCCATTCATTTTATTTTATCTCTTTCAAGCTAGATCACTTGATTAATTAATTTTGAAAAACCTCGGCACACTAAAAGGCTTCTATTTTGAGTCCATCTGTTCTGTCTATATTTGTTTTGATTGTTAAAAAGAGGCAATGGGGGGGAATAAAAGGAAAGTTCCTATTCCACGTTTAGCTCCAAATATATGACTCAAAAACAGTCTGGTCTATTCCAGACTTTACAGGCAGCAAATGTGTCAACAAATGTTTGACAGCTCTGAAACAAATTCTGTGTCTTGCTGTCACGCACTGTCAGTCATTTTAAAAAGGGACGCTGTCGATATGAAGATGAAAGATGTCTTTAGTGCCATGTTTTGGCTCTAAAGAGCCATTTACTGATTGGCACACAACTGGAGTTCGGTGATACACATATTTAGCTTAAAAGCATCAACACAGCTCTGTGCAGCGGGCCGGATCATCTCCTGAATTACATCAAACTATTATAATAGAAATAGAAAAAAAAAAGAATTCCCAAAATAGAGGCTTTTTCATGGAACGGTGCTCTTCTATTCATCACATCCAGCTCCTGCTGGCCACGCTACCTGCCTGCAACATGTAATCTGCCATATTCTCCCATGACGGTGCTGCGCTATGAAATTTTTCAATACTTATTTGTTATTTTAACATTGTATTCTCTTTTAGGCTACTGGACTAAGAGGGAGTGGGGAAACTGCCCCGGTAATTATCCACTTGTCTATATTCAGCCACGTACTCCTGCATTATTCACATCCTTCAATTTACACTGCCATCCGTGTGTGTCATAGCAATGAGCTGCAGTTAGCAAGCCCTGTCATTACTACAGGAGCTGTCCTCCCCCTTCTAACTGCTGTCTCTTGTCATGCCAAACTCTTGTAATAGGAAAAGTTCCTCTCGAATGTCATTGAGTTTCGAATTACTCTTGGCCTCGTCCTTACGTTTAGCCACAGACGCAGATGAAAAAAGGAAACGCCGAGCAACAGAGGGGAGCAACCTTGAGTTTGTACCAGTGCAAATGCCACGCAGCAGAAAAGCCCGCGCTACGCTTACTCACCGAAGGGAGTGCTGTGGAGTAACACCTGCTCCAGGTTGCGTCCGTCGTTGTACAGGGCGAGGTGCCACGTCCCCGGGTCCATGTACTCGATGAAGCCGGTTTCTTGCAGGCCGCTCAGCAGCAGGCCTTTGGGGGCTTTGGCGGTCGAGACGGGATCGGTCAAGGACCTGGGCAGGGCCTTCCCATCCAGCAGCTTCACAAAGTCGAACTGAGCACAATACGGGGGACACAATCAGGCGGCCTTATTATCCAGCTGGAAGGAAGCATGAAGGGTAACTGACAAAACCCGCATAAACGCACGGGTGAATCCGCAAACCAGGATTTGTGCAGCGACTTTTGGTGGGTAAAATCAAGCCTGATGCCACTGGAAAAATATGCCTTATTGGAAGTCAAGCAGTAGCATATCACAAGCAAAACAATGATCTTGCAGAAACAGGAGAAGTAGCGGTGTATGGCATCTCAGTGTTGGTTCGAGAGCGAGACATACTGCTAAGAGCATGGGCATATTTTACCGCCCAGGCTTGCAGTAGAACAGAGTTTTGTTTCATCTTTCGAAAAACCTTTCTCTGCTTGTTTCTCTCTTTTAACTTTTTAACCACCCTCGACTGCAGCTCCCCTTCTATCCGTCCTTAGTCCTTCTTGAACTAGGAAGCCTGCGCTGTCTTCCTCCCTCTGAGGGCTCTGTGTCACAATGGTGTCAAAAACAGCTAATTAGACCTCTTCAAGCAGACGAGAGCGGGGACGCGCGGATATTAAAAAGCAGATGACTCAGTTTGTGTTGTATCTTTTGACTGTATATGCGCTTGTTGCACGGCACAAAAGCTGTTCTCCAATGTGTATGTTGTGTGTGTGTGTCTGTGTGTGTGTGGCTGAACTGCAGAAATAATTGTTTCCTTGAAAAAAAAAAACATTTCGCATCCTCGATCTTTAAGTCAGATTGGGCAAGATATCTGTCAAATAGCAACAGTCTGGGTGGAGAAGGACACAGCCTGCCTTGCTATGTGGAATCTGTAAAATTAAAATTGCTCTTCCATCATCTCGTTCTTTGTTTTTTAACGCTGACGGCAATCTAATGGGACGCATTTGCATATCTTGTGTTTTTGTTGTCTCCAAAAGTTTAAAACGGTGATTTGTTCACAGCTCCTAAATGTTACCTGTTAAACAAGCAAATCGCAATTCATGCTCCGCTGCGCTGACAACTTGTTATTGTGTTCTCACAAATGTGCCTGACAAACACGCATAAATACAGCTTATGGACACATGTCACGACTACAAATCAATTTTCTTAAATGAACAAATTGATTTGAATCCATCAAAAGACGCAAACTTCCGCATCCTGTCGGTATTGAGTGCCTCACTCCAAAGACGGTCGGAGACAGACAGCGTTTTAATGATCATTTTAGCAGCGAATAACGGTAACAACCGGAAAAAAACAGAAGAAGAAGAAGAAAAAAAAACTCTTTGTGTCTGTCTGTTATCTTTGTGGGATCTGGATCGGCGCACAAGAGTGATCCCATGGCGTCTTCTTAAAATAAGGATTTACCTCAAGGCCAGTTTTAAAAACACTTGGCGTGGATGAAAGGACGAAACGGAGGGATGGAGGTGCATTCGAGTGAATGTGAACGGTGGTGTGGAAACAAAGCAGCCCATCTGGGCGAACAGCATGCGTCCAGGAGAGTCATCTATACCTGGGTGTGTGTGGGCGGGATGTTCCTGCGTCCATAGACCCCCAGCAGGGCGTTGTGTGAAAGGGAGAGATTGAACTTGACGTAGGTCGGATGGTGCACAGTCATGTGAAACCTCCAGAAAAGCCCCGGCGGGATTGCCTGGTTCTGTTGAGTTCCGATGTCAACCTCACCACGGTCAATGGCGCGGCCTCTCACCCACTTCTCTGCAAATGAAATATACAACAAACAAGTAAATATACATATGTAAACATATGGGGGGGGGGGGGGGCGATCTTTGTAGACGCACGCTTCAGCTTTATTGAGGTGGACAAGAATTCCAACTCAGTATCAGAGGGAGCAATTAATAACCTCGCTGATGTCCTTGAGCATCAGCGTGATCAGCTGCCCTTCTAATGAAGTGAGACTGAATAGACACCCAAATGACTGAGCACTGGTGGAAAATCCTGCCTTTTAAAAAACACACACTTTGGCAGTGCTTTGGATGGGCTCTGCATAAAGATGAACGGCTTCAGAAGAGCAGGGCTTTGTCTGAGAGGTGTCTACTGGGGCTTTGTCGTTTGTTACATTAGCTAACAAGAGGGAAAGGTGCGAGTGTGCGTTAGCATGAATGTGAGAGGATAGAGATTTGGGGGTTGAGAGAAAGTGAGCAGGGCAGGGGACGTACACATACATTCACAAACAGTGTCGCGGCACAAAGATAGAGTCTTGACTGAGAGCGCGTCTTTGTGTGAGATGAGAATAGGTCTTCCCAACAGTCCCCTGGCCATCAGCTCCTCTCCTCTCCATAAGCCTTTATCAAGCATAGGGTCTGGCTCTTTTGTGTAGAGGGGCAGTCAAGGCTCTCCAGCCTTCTTTGTGTTGGCCTTTATACAGAGAGATATATCTCTTCTTCTAAACTAAGATGGAGGAAATACGTAGACAGAGGGGGAGCCGGCCAATCGTTACCACCACAAAGGCAGAAGAACAGTTAGGGGCAGATTCATGGATGGGTCCACTCGCTCTCAATCTATAAAGCCCGCAGCTCTACCACTCCATTATGGAGAAGCCATGCACACCCACAGGCCAGCCAGCATATATCACATGTCCTGTCACACTGAGCGCGAGCTAAAAGTGTAGGCCTGTCAGGTACTTTAAGCCATGCTGGCAGTGTTTCAAGAGCCAGCGGTATTGGTCCATCTGGATTCTGTCCTATTCCTCTTTTCTGAACTTTTTAAAAAAAGATATTCATGACGGTGAAACCAACCAAATTCAGTCATTTCCTGCGTGCACTGCAATGAAGTTTTGAGACAAATGTCTCATCAACTTTTTCTTTAGTTTTATCATCCTGTCAAATTGCCTTGTCTTCAATATCAATTAGTAAATATATGAGGGCTATAGTCTAAGATGATAAGGATGGCAAACCTACTGTGAGCACTGTCAGAATTAAGCTCAGACTCAACATGCTGACTTCCATTTCTGCTGAAGGGCAACCGTGCTGTCAAATCATTTCACTTCTCATCTATAAAGCAAAGACAAACACTGTTTTCTTTGATGGATTTATTGGAGTGTGGAAATTCCATCAAAAGTAGCACCTTATCTCATCACTTGTCTTCAAACATGTTAAGGTGAAAAGGTTCTGCGAAGTCTGCCAACAGTTGCCATTCTAAAATCATTCCATCATCACACAAATCTGTTTGGTTGCAACTGTCATGGAGGCTAAATTAACACTTGTGGTTTTAGCCTGACAACTAGATTCTGCATGCGTTTGTACACTATGTACTTACACTATGTATTTTCAGCATATGTTTAGTTCCATAGTGTCTTTTAAGTTGGTTTAAGATTTCACTGATGCACTATGAAAGACTAAATTGAACATCTTTCACATCCAATTGTTCTGAAATAAACATATCTAATTACATTACATTAAGTAATGTAATAACATTACATTGTAATACAATATAATTTAATAACATTGTAATACATTGCACATTGTAATGTAATTACTTTAGAATGCCAACAATAATAAAAGGGGAGAATCATTTTTTAAATGTATAAGTTGTCCATTTTTTTATTTACATACTAGTGACCCAAATACACAGACTCACTTTTCGCTCTAGGTGTTAAAAATGCAAAAAAGTCAATTTGACTCTCAGGCAGAGCTTAGGCTCAGCTTGTTAGCCACTTTGTTTATCCAACTTCCTTGCACACAGTATAGTCCCTCTCTGCTTCCATGTCTAATTCATTTCGAGGTGTTCGGATCCAAGTATGCAACTTAATCTTTTGATTGTTGCTTGGATTCACCAGAATTGTTTGTGAGTGAATAGAGGCAAAGCAGGTGACAGCTAATCAAAGAGTCAGGCAGTATTGAGAATTAATACAAAAGTGTCCTTCTAAATCCTTGTAAGTGCGAGTGGGAGTTCAGTGTTTGAAAGTTGCCTTTATGTTCCATTTCGCAACAAGATGTGACCATAGCTGGACAAAAAGATGGAGCTCAATTGACTTTTTCGAGAGACCATTAGGCTAAAAGTTGTTGTTTTTTATGACTCTGTTTCATACTGGGATTTTCAAAAGGACCACCAGCACACTAATTGGATAGAGTGAATCTGGTTAATGACACCATAACGACTTGAGTAGAAAAAAAAATATTGACATAATATTTCATGATCTACGTTTTTAATTGGGAATCTAATTGAGCTAAAGACATTTTGGAGCAAGTGCTTAGCAGGCATCAGTGATACTCCATGTTTGCTTTACATCCAGCGGCAGACTTCGTCCATATTTCATCTATTTAATTAGATTTTTTTCTTAGAGTTTGCGATCCAGCTTAAATATTGAAACTCCTTCGAAGCAAACGAATAAATGCGTTTTTTACTAATATGTTTGTGGTCTATTCAATTTAGAACCCCTGTTGCACTGAAAAAGGAAACTGATAAACTTGGCGAGAGAAACTTAATTCTGCTGTCAGGTTGTTGGTGTGAAGGAAAGAGGTTTTTAACAAAAGACGGAGAAAAAGGAAGGTGCGATTTTTCCTGTTAGAAGTAAATATAGGTCCTGTATTAAAATCTTTACCAAAACAGAGTAAAAGTCTGGCAGAACTAAGTGTATATTCACACAGTCCTGCCAAGTCCAACCTCAGCAGTCCCACTCTTTTAATGTTAATCCTCCCCCTTCCGCTTGGCCAGAGAAATATAAAGGCCAGCAGAGGGATGGATGTCCAGAGGAAAGCAAGTCTTTTATTCTACAGTAGATGAATGGAACATGAATAGGGAACGGCAGTTGGCAGAACACTGGTGGGCAGGGAGGCACGCAGGCTGACTGGCAGCCTGGCGGGCAGATGAGCAAGCAGGTAGTTCTAACGCTAATTACTGTACAGCGCCTCTCTGCGCCTGACGCAAGAAGGGGGACAAAAAGCGGCGCTCCGGTCAGCCTTGAGGGTGGGTAGCGAAGAGGGGGGAGGTTAAAGAGAGAGGTTGAAAAGAAGCGAATGGAGGACCAGTGTCAATTTACAGTTGCTGATGCAAGAGAGAAGAAAACCCTCCTTGCTTCTCCCTCATTCTGTCTCATCAATAAAGAGTAATCCTGCTGCTCCAGTAAAAAGAGAGGAGGATTGAGTCACGCTGGCAATCCAACACAAACCAGGAACTTTTGAGAGCTTTTGAGACCCTCGCGAGCGGCTCAGATTACTGCTGTCGATCAGCGTGCTCCACCCCTGCATCCACACAAAACCTGAGCCCTTCCTTTGAAAAGGTATTTCAAAACAGCAGGAATCTCTACTTCTTTCTCCTTGACAGGCAAAAAATGAATAAGAGCTTTAATAAACAAAACGATCCGCAAACAGGGAGGTAGAATTTTTCCCACCCCGCTATCTTGTGGATTAAAGAGAGAAAAAGCAGCATGAAAGTCACACTTACTTTTCTGTTGGTTACCTAAAATAAATGGCATCCCATGAATCTCCCCTTGCGTTTTTCACGATCAGCTGGCAGCGTGAACAACAAATGTTTATTCGAAAATGTTAAGCTCGTTTTAAGGGGCCGATTAAAGGGTTGCTTAGCATCTTCTTGTCCGACATCAAGCATAATGCGGTCTTGATGGAAATGATAAATCATTAGCGGGCTGGCCTGCTGTAACCTAAATACCACATATTACAGTAATGATGCTGCTTCAGCCAATTACAACAGTGATGTGTTGCGGTGTACACATAAGACAACTAATTCCCGCCTTAGCCCAAATTTTCACAAAATATGCAAATGCGAGCGCACCCTTGCTTGTTTTCCGCTAAATTAGCCGTTGAAAGGTTCCCGAGCCACGAGACTTCTGGATCAGAATGGTTTTGCGTCTTAAATCTCAACCTTATTGTCTTTCACCCCTGATGCAGAGCCAGTGTTTTCAGAGAGCCGGTGTGAGAATGCCTGCCCATCCATCCGCCTGTCTTGTGTCTTGCGTGCGAGTGTGTGTGGGTATGCCGGGCCGGCGAAAGAAGATGAACTACATTAGAACCTGGGACACAAGGTCTAATTAATTTCTCTTGCCTACGGCTTATTCAGGTAAAACAATTACACCTGTAATCTATTTTCAACGGAACTAAACTGTCTTTGCAATTAATGTTATTATCCTTCACATTCTAATGAAGCAGAGAACAGACTCAAAGTGCAGTCGGGGTCTGTGTGACGGGACATGTCTGGGGGGACCGAGTGGTGTGTGTGTGTGTGGGTGTGTAATCGTGTAAAACGGCCGACGCTGACTGTGTGTGAATCACACACATATGTGCGGACAACATTAATAGTGTTCCCAAATGCAAGAGAGACTGAGTTTGCCGCAGGATGAATAAAAATATCACAATGGGCAAGGTCTCTATAATTACTTGGATTCAATTAAGGGCCTTTTGAGCAGGTGGCTTAATAAGCTTTCAGCCTTTTCTCTGCACTGTGTAGCCTAATGAGTGTCAGTCAGTCAGGAAAAGATAATGCTTTTGGCCTCAGGGCCCTCCATTACGTCTTCCTTCCGTCCTCACCTTCCACCATCAAGCCTCAGGTTATGTCTGTGACAGATATGTCTGCCTTGTTCACAAATTCTTTCACTCCTTGACACTAACAGTCTTATGCATTTAATATGTGTTGCACAAGTTGACATAAGGATCAAGCGCTTGAAGCTTTATTTTTCCTTTTTTTTAATTTATTGAGCTCGACTCAAGCTTCAAGTCTTCTGGGTAGTTCTTCCGGATGCCTGGACGAAATGACCACGCTCAGAGCAACATGTCACTGTCAGGTGAGGACAAGTGGCAAGCAAATCATTTGATATTTAATGAGAATGAAAGATTTCTGCATTTTTTCCCCGACAAATTATTCATGATTTTGTTCTTTAATTCTTTAATTCCCCTGAAGACGTCAAAATTCAAATATCTCATGTTTTAGATGCACCCCAAAAAGACCAATACAGCTACGAAAGAAACTATATAAAAGACTGTTACCAGTAAAAAGGACTATGTTCTGAGAAGTGCTGAAAATGTTGCAATTACTCCATTCAAAATACAAATACTTGTACTCCAGACACTTTGATATAATTTCAAGCTAATTACTGATGTATAGATGTCTAGATTTCTGAACATTTCAGAGCTGGAGCAGATCTAAACTGGTTTTTTTTTCATTTCTTTTTTATCAGCTTTGATTTTTCATAACGCTTGGCTAAATCTAAAAACTTAAATTCTGTCTTCAGACGAGATGCAAAAGAGAAAAAAAAAAAACTCCTCCTTCGCTTCAGAGCACATATTTGTTTGCCTGAAGTCATTACTCAAACTCAAAAACTGAGAAGAAACTCAATCCTGTCATATTTTTTGGGGGCCCCCCGAGGTCTGAGAATGTGTCAAACAGTGAGCCAGTCAGATTTGTAGTGGATTTTCACACCGTACTCGCAGGTAAGAGTAGAAACACGGAGTGTCCTAGTCAATAGCTCCACCAAATCTTTTTATTAAGTCGGATGAACACTTATTGATCAATATAAAAACCTATCAATCAAATATATAAACTGTAGATATTTTTTCTCTCCCTTTTGTTGTATGACAAACATTAGTTTCCAAAGTCAAGGAAAATCCATCTTTGATTCTCAAATGTCAAGAGTGGGTGCTTCGGAGCTGTCTGCTTTTGATATAATGTGCCATCCGCACTGCAAATACTGGCTGCAGCTCGGAATTAAGTTCAATTTCTTCAGATGTGCTTGCACGAAATGTTTTCGATGCAGGCTGGGTAACAGACAGACATGTTCTCTCTCTGCTGCGAAGCTTTCTCAACTTGAGAGGCGCATGCAGGGGGTTCACTAAATGATCTCTGCTCTGCTCTGCATGTGTGTCTGTGTGCGTGCATGTGTGTCCAAGTTACATCCTGACACTGTATCCCAGTGTGAGAAAATCAATGAGAAAGCTGTAACAGGGACTAGTTCATCAGCATTTGCACGCATGCATTGCACATACGTGCACGCTCT